AAATAAGCATTTTAGGCATGCTGGTAGGCCAATTGGCTCCTGTCCAAATTGACCCTAGTATGTGTATGTATGAATGTAAGTCAGGGACCTTAGATTGTATGCCCCTTGAGGGTTGGGGACTGATGCACATGTTCAATATATATATATTTAATGCACTGCATAAATTGACAGCACTATATAAGTACCTGAAATAAATAAGTATTTTAGGCTTCACCACTGTGTAGATTGCCATTGTTTCTTGCTAATCTGCCCCTAACATTTAATTGTAAAGAGCCCTGCTTGCTTAAAGCCCTACTTTTATACCCTTTGTAGATGTGACAATCATCCTAGTACAGAAGCCTTGGGAAAATAAATAGTAGGGATTGTGTCATATTTTATTTGTGAATTTTTGGCATTATCATGGAAGTGGCCTGAATTGGTAAAGTGAAACTCCACCCTGTGACGAATGCAGATGTCAGACCCCTGTCCTCACCAATTTGTGAAAAAGGACTGGCCAATCTCACACCGCTCTGTCACTTATGGAACAATGCCACTTTCAACTGCACCCTGCACAAAGATTTTCCAGCTCACAGGACCACAATCTAGGTGTAAGCAGCCTGAGAGCGATTGTCATGGGGTTAACTAAGCAGTTACCTTAAGCTACCACCACCCCCTTTTTACTGAGAAGGAGACAGAAACAGAGTACTGTCCGTGATACTTTTTTTATTTGCACTAACATACAATTTTGAGGACAAGCTTTCGGGGTATGTCCCCTTCTTCAAAGTCCAAACAGTACTATTACAAATCACAAAGTTTAAGCAGAATATTAGAAGGGATTGAGAAAAAAAAAAAAAAAAAGGCTACAGGTAAGATACATCAAGAGCGAGGGGGGGAGGGGGGGGGGGGATACTACACTCACACAGAGGGGGTCAAGCTTCAGCTAATAGTCATAAAGCTGTCGGATAATGGTTGAGGAATCCCATGTCCAAGTTAAGGCCGTTATCTTTTGTGTCAAATAGAATTATCATTCTTAGTTCAAATGTACTGAGAAGGAGGAAACTCACAGTCTTCGCAAAAACAACTATGATTTTAGAATAAACGTCAACAAAACGCACTGTCACTACAGACAGGTATATTCAGAGGATTATACTACAGTTTCACTCTTCAAAAGACAGGGCTTCTTTTAATTTGTATTGGTGTATTTATTGACAATTTCAACAATTTTCACAAGAGGGTTTAAAGTGTTACTAAACCCAGGACCCTGCATTCACTAGATCTGGTTTCCCACAGTACACATGGCATGGAAATGCAATTCTTTTAGTAAATATAAACTGCTAAATACCTTTTCTCATCAGCAATTGGAGCAATATTGTGACTTCTCCTACAAGCTTTAACCAGTGCTCTGCTGGAAACTGATAGGAGTTTTCTCTAGGAGGATGCAGAACCCCTGACCTATGTCTGGGCAGTGCTGATTGGCCCTGTTCTGATCACATGCACTCTCCCAAGAAACAAAAAAAACCTCTATAGCAATACACACCAAACTGTGCATGTGCAGAGTGTCTCCACACGATACGTCTTATCAAGAGATAAGAGGGGAGCACTGGAAGCAGGGGAGGATCAGAGAAGTCGGGGTCAAACAGCATTTTAACACAATGCAGAGGATTAAACCCTTAGGTTCCACAGTGAGTATTTCAAGCATGTTTTACTGCCTATACAGACTGATTTTACTGTTGTGTGTTTAGTAACACTGTAATATTGAAAAGGTCAAAATGGTGCAAATAAAATATTTAAAAAAACAAAGATATTACAAAATAACAAAGCGAACAAGCTACAGCAAGACAAGAGGTGAAAAAAGTAAATACTTGCAAAGTCCTTGGTTTTAGCAGAGCTCAGTCAAGGGCGAGTGAGGTGTTATCATCAGCTCTCATAACTTGACAGACGTTCCCTACTTGATGGTACACAAAAGCTTGTCAAAATGTCTTGGCATTCCTTTTTTCTGTGGTATCAAATAGGGTGTTGACAGAGACCATCTGACCAATTAGTCGGCTGAGGAGTGGCCATGGGGGTGTCACCGTGTTTGACTGTCTCATGGCCTTCCCTTACACACAGCTTTATATTAATATTAATATGTTCGAATATGTACAGTTTGCATTCTTGAAACTGGTAGATTATTGTTCAGGCTTATATTTCATGTCCAGGGATGTCCATATGTGCCTGTCACCCAGGAGCTATTTGACTGCTATCTAACCTTCTGTATACTATAGCTTAGGCATGTATGATCTTGATTTGCTTGGTATGATATTCCCCATTCAAATATATACTTAAAATTGGTATATCTTGGTCCTGTCTGATTTTATGAACTGTGTGTAGTTTGATACGTTGAGTTGGGCAGGCAGGGGGTCTCCAAAAGGTCACTGCAAGCCTGACTACTTTACAATCCCCATTTTATGGCACGCCATGTGTTCCTAGCGCTTTAATTGCCCTACAAACCATGGGTGACAGAACTGAAGGTTTCTTTTTTTACAATAGGTCAGAGAGAAATGCTAACCTGTAGAATTGTTTTTATGGTCAGTAGAAACTAACAGACATCCTGTCAGGACTTCAGTTAGCTGTTTACAGCTCTAGCAAAGGCCTGTGTGCTGGTGTCTGCTGGCCCTAAGTTGAGATAACATGCTCTTTTGAAGTGTGTTAAAAGTTAAGACTTTGAATTCCATGGATTGCAGGAGGAGGGAGGGGGTAAGATCACTAGGCTATGCCTCTTCCCATGACAAAAAATGACTGTAACCTGAATAAGATGGATGTCACCTACAGTTTTTATGTGCCTAATGCACACAACCATTACACACCCAAAAGGGATGTTCCTCTTTAAGGCCTCCTCCCCAGCTCCTGCAGCTTTTTGGGAGGAGGGGGGAGCGGCTACCCGATTTTAACAGGTATCTGCTTCCACTTCTGCTCTGACCTCCTAGGCAAACAGAAGTGGAAGTTCTCCTTCCCTCCCGCAGTCTTCTGGGATATGGGATATGTGAAGCTGCAAGCTGTCAGAGCTGGGTGCCCATAGTAAAGATGCGGGGGGAGGTGGGTGTTAATGGAAATGAGAGATGATGACATGGGGCTTTGATTATGAAAGAGCACCTGAACTGAGCCATGCCCAAATAGGAATAGTCACTAGTATTATGTTGAATGTCTCTGAAGCTTATCTTTTGCCTATTACTGACTTACCATGCCGTGTTCTGCACTGTCTCTGTGGTGGTGGGCCATATCGGTAAAGGCAGGGTTTTGATTCTCCAAATCAAAGCTGCCCTATGATGACTGATGGATGAATGTTTAAAGGAGAAGTACAGCTAAAGCCCTTTTGGCTGTACTTTGCCTGTGGATCACAGGGGTACAGTTCATCCTGCACTCCTGTGACCTATTTTCAGCAGACAGCGGGCTGTAGCCTGCTGTCTGCTGACATCACTCAGCTAGTCCAGGCTATGGAAAGGTCCCAACTTTAAAGTTGGGATCCACCCCAGAGTTTGGAGCTGCACCAGGCTCAGCGAGCCTGAGCCAGCCGCTCCCTCACCCTCCACAGCCCAGCATTCCAGTAAGTGCGGAGGGCAGAGCAGACGGTGGTGACTGACACAGCAGCGATGAGAACTCAGCGGTCATGGGATCCCCAAGCTCTCCCACTTAGAGCTGATCAGATCTGAACGATGCTGCATCCATCTAGGTAAGTGTAATTTGGATCTACTGCTACAGGGTGGCAGCGGTGCACAAAATCACATATATATATATATACGCAAGTTTTCATTTCCGCGTAGGGAGAATGCGCGAGGCCCTACCTGTGCCGCCATTCGTGGCTGCGGCTGTCAATCACTGAGTCCAGGCTGGTGATTACTCGCCCGCACCCAGTGATTGCTGAGAATATCTTGGTAAACAAAACAGTTCTCTCCCGTCAGCTCATGCACACTGCTTTGCATGGCTGTGCACAGCACTGAGGATTTCAGTGGCACCAAGTCAGTTCCCCCCAGTATCAGAATGCCCGCCGCAGTCCCGCTATAAGTCACTGATCGCCATGATTACTAGTGAAAAAGAAAAAAAAAAAAAGCCCAGTATATATACCACCATTTGTAAACACTATAACCTTCACGTAAACCAATTAATTTACACATATTGGGATTTTTTTTTAGCGAAAACATGCAGCAGAATACATTTTGGCCTAAATTTAGGACAAAATGTAATTTTTTTTAAATTTTTTTACTGGATATGTATTATAGCAAAAAGTTCAAAATATTGTTTTTTTCTCAAAATTGTTAGTGTAAAAAATAAAAAACGCACAGGCGATCAAATACCTCCAAAAGAAAGCCCTATTCGTGGGAAAAAAGGACATCATTTCATTTGGGTGCAGCGTTGCATGATTGCGCAATTGTCAGTTAAAGTAACACAGCGCCGTAACGCAAAAAATGGCCTGGTCAGGAAGCGGGGGGAAATCCTCTGGAGGGCAAGTGGTTAAAAGAGTTTTTTAAACATTACTTTGATTAAAAAACAGTTTAGCATACATTTTCCTTATTATAATCAGTACTAAAAAGTTGCATTTTTAAAAGAAAGATGCAGTCAGAACAGTGAGTTATCCCCATCTCCTTCCTTTTGTGTGCAGTCAGCAGAGATAGAGGCACATCAGTTAAAAAGCAGATAGCCAAAAGGCAGGCAGCTTCTGGTGTCCCATTTCTTTTAGATAACCCTATAGCCCTGGTTCACAACGGTGCGACTTGTCATGTGATCACATGACAAGTCGCACCCTTTTTAATGTTTATTTGTAAAGTAAGGTTGTATACAGATAGTAAAGCAAACAGAAAATATCTCAGAATTACAACTGACCCCAAAACATATTTTCTCTGTTTTTTTGGGAGCTGTTTCTTTGCCGTTTCATTGTTTTGAATGCTTACAGTCACTTTGACAGAAAAATGTGTATTTTAAACTGTGCTGTCTATTTTTAATCATGAAAAACACGTTTTTATATTTTACTTTTTCTTTGTTTTTAGAAAGTAGATGTGACCAGTAGAGCAGTCATTGAAATAATGACAAAGTCAATAGAATATCTCCAGCCTAATCCAGGTAATGATATTTGAAGTTAAACTGATCTTAAAACTGTGAATGGACATTGATGCAAGAATTAGCTAATCTATTAGAGTTTAATTCTCATTTAAACAATGATTGCTGTTGTAATGTCTGTTTCTTGATATTCAGCTTCTCGAGCAAAACTTAATATGATCAACACAATGTCAAAGATCCGTGGGCAAGAAAAGGGGCCTGGATATCCTCAAGCTGAAGCCTTGTTAGCAGAAGCCATGTTAAAGTATGGCAGAGAAATTGGAGATGAATCAAACTTTGGTAATTTGTTTTTGTTTCTTAATTTTAACCATGTAAACTTCTAGTGTCCCTTCTAATGTGACTTGAATATCTTGGATGCTTTATGTATTTGGTATTTACTGAAATGTTCATTGTTACTGGCAATTACGACGAGACCAATACCTATGACCTTAAACTAACTGGAGGAAACTTTAAAACTAATCTCAGAAAGTACTATTTTTACTGAAAGAGTAGTTGATGCTTGGTATAAACTTCCAGCAGAGGTAGTGAGCCAGTCAACAGTAAATAGCTTCAAACATGCTTGAGACAACCATAGATCTATACTCAAAAAGAAACTTAGCAAAAAAGTTAACAAAAAAAACACACAAAAAAAAACAACCCCCCAAAGCAAAAAAAAAACCACTCTGTGTTTTTTTGCCGTCACCTTTCTATGTTTCTATGATACCGTGTCAGTTAACTTTTTAATGCCTTATGTTATTCTCTTTGTGATGCTTTTCTGGGGCAAGTCTAGATTGGAATTGGAAAACTATCAGGTCCGGCTTTGCTGGGGAAGGGGGGGGGGGGGGGGGGGGGGGGGGGGGTCTGCTGCATTTAGAAGTATTTGAGGACTGTTAAGATTTTGTATAATGATTATTACATCAGTCCTGCATATAAAGCAATACCATTTACTGTACTGAGATTGCTTTGCTTCATTTAGCTTTTCAATGTTTAACTTGTAAAAAAATTGGGCTGCAGTGCTCTTTAAAATATGGATACATTAAAGCCTGAGTTCAACAAAGTTACAGAGACAGCTTTCTCTCTTAGGCTTCATGTATCAATGTGCCAGGATTACTTTTATTACCCCATAGGCATCAATTACTTTCAGATCTGCCCTAGAGAAAGAAAACATTCAGAAAGTCTGACCTTGACCAGTGGTGGGAAACCAACTTTCTAATACTGACACTTTGATACATGAGGTCAACAAACTTTCTTTTTCATAACTTCTTTGTAGCACTTTTTTGATAAACTATGAAAGGCTACCAGAAAAATGAATGAATATATGTAAATGAGAATGCTGATTACCCCGTATGTATATTCAAATAGTCTTTCTAGGATGCCATGAATGGCAGTTGTAGAGTCTTCAAGCACAATCTGATAGAAAGTATTATTTTATTGTCACTTTATTTATTCAACATTTGCTTGTAAGTCAAATGTGTGAAATAATCTCACCCGGACTGCAGCTCTTTAAAACACTTCAGTAGGAAAAATGAATTGAAATGTTCTCAGATGTCAACAGTCTTGTCACACAATGGCTTCATAGCGGTACTCTGAGCCTAGGCAGTGGAATAATTATGCTATCCGTTTGATTTACTACAGGATTCATTTTTAGATATAAACCAAATATGTTATTTTAAAGGATAAGTTAAGGAACATGTACAAATCTTCCCAGACCTCTTCCCTAGCTCCCTTAAAATACTGGGCTGTATCAACTCCCCACCCCTTACTTACAACTGCTGTGGCCTCCAGCATCCAGTCCTTTGCTCATGCAGTATTGGTAGATATAATCAAGTCCAAGGGACATTACGTTGCCAGAGCAGACAGCAGTACTAAATTGTTACTAGACCTTGCAGGAGGCTGTAGCCATTGGAGGAGGTAAGTACAGACCTGCAGAGAATGACACAACTCATTGTATTTATTAGCTAGGGAGAGGGCTTGTGGATTTTTCTTTGTTTCAGAACTTGCCCTTTAATCCCGTTTCACGATAAAAAGAAGTGATCTTATATGATGGGATGTTTGAAACAAAATTTAGACTAGATGGAATATGTGTTGATTTTTTATTTGTTAACTTGCAGGTCCAGCTCTTGTTGACGTAGGAGAAGCTATGAGGGAGCTTTCTGATATCAAAGACTCCTTAGACATTGATGTTAAGCAGAACTTCATAGATCCACTGCAAAATCTGCATGACAAAGATTTAAAAGAAATACAGGTAAAAGAAGAAAGAATTAAACAACATTTTAAAACCAGGTAGAACATGTTCTATGTAGGAGACTGAAGGCCCCAGCTGCTTTTGATGGTTTTTTTTTTATTATTAAAACTGAAGGTTGCCACAACCTTGATGTTGGGTAAGCTGTAACAAGCAATCTTGGATTCATTCTATTTTTGCATCTGGTATCCATTTTTTTTGCTGTTGCATGTAATTTAAACCTGTAGCAACAAGTAAAAAGGTGACAAATGTAATGACTTACTCCACACTGGTCAGCGATAAGTAAAAGCTAATTATAACTGACATTTAGCCACTAAAAGGTTGTCGTAAAGACGGTAGAGCTGTGTCATCATGTCAGATTTTTTTTATAACACTTTAAGTAGGAAAATGTACAGTTAAGTTATAACTGTATCAGCTGGATAGATTAAAATGGCAGCCTTTCAATACTCGGTTCTGTCAAGGATGGCATGGAACAGATTCTGAAATCTCTCATGATTGATATACTGTACACCAGGGGTAATAAAGAGGTTATTTTGATAGAGGCAGTACCCTACTGACACTGAAAACCTACAGACAGACTAACTTAATGAAGAACTGATATTCAAACAGGTGAATAGACAGGTAATAATACTTGCACAAACTGGTTTGAACCTCTACAGAAGCACAGAAGGGAATTTACCAAGCATATACAGCACTATTGCAACTGCCAGTCAAATTAAGGTGGCTATTGATAAGCCCAGGAGCAACCCTGTAAAATACAAATGCCTGAAGATAATACACATACCTCACTTGTTGTTACACTCAACAGATAATAAATAATGTGGTGATAAACCGTAGCATAAGGACCTCCAGATTTATTGGCGTTGGTCTTTCTATATTATATAGCTAAATTACTCTTTAGGGAGATTTTTATTTCCATTTTATTGCATTAACTTCTAAGGTGTTATCATGAGCTGCTGTATACAGTTGCAAGAAAAAGTATGTGAACCCCTTGGGATTACGTGGAGTTTTGCATGAATTGGGCATAAAATGTGCTCTGAACGTCATCTAAGTCACAACAATAGAAGAACACAGTCTGCTGAACATAATACTACACAAAAACATTAGATGTTGCCATGGTTTAAATTGCACATAACATGTAAACATTCACAGTGTAGGGAGGAAAACATATGTGAACCTTTGGACTTAATAACTGGTTGACCCTCCTTTGGCAGCAATAACCTCAACCAAACGTTTCCTGTAGTTGCAGATCAGACCTGCACAACGATCTGGAGTAATTTTGGACCACTACTACTCTTAACAAAACTGTTTCAGTGTAGCAATATTCTTGGGATGTATGGTGTGAATCGCTCTCTTAAGGTCATGCCACAGCATTTCAATGGGGTTGAGGTCAGGACTCTGACTGGGCCACTCCAGAAGGCGTATTCTGTGCTGTTGCAGCCATTGCTTTGTTGAATTACTTGTATGCTTTGGGTCATTGTCCTGTTGCATCACCATACTCTGCGGAGCTTCAGTTGGCGGACAGATGGTCGTACGTTTTTCCTGCAAAATGTCTTGATAAACTCTGGAATTCATTTTCCCATTAATGACAACAATCCGTCCAGACCCTGAGGCAGCAACGCAGCCCCAAACCATGATGCTCCCTCCGCCATGTTTTTACAGTGGGGATGAGGTTTTGATGTTGCTGTGCCTTTTTTTTCTCCACACATAGTGTTGTGTGTTCTTCCCAAACAACTCAATCTTGGTTTCATCTGTCCACAGTATATTTTGCCAGTAGTGCTGTGGAACATCCAGGTGCTCTTTTGCAAACTTCAAACGTGCTGCAATATTCTTTTTGGACTGCAATGGCTTCCTCCGTGGTGTCCTCCCATGTGCTCCATTCTTGTTTTAATGTTTTCCTTATTGTAGATGTGTCAACAAAAATGTTAGCATGTGCCAGAGATTTCTGTAAGTCTTTAGCTGACACTCTGGGATTCTTCTTTACCTCATGCAGCATTCTGCGCTGTGCTCTTGCAGTCATTTTTACAGGACGACCACGCCTAGGGAGAGTAGCAACAGTGCTAAACTTTCTCCATTTGTAGACAGTCTGTCTTACCGTGGACACATGAACATCAAGGCTTTTGGAGATACTTTTGTAACCCTTTCCAGCTTCATGCAAGTCAACAATTCTTGATCGTAGGTCTTCTGAGAGCTCTTTTCTGCGAGGCATGGTTCACATCAGACAGTGCTTCTTGAAACCAGTAAACCCAAAACAGGTGTGTGTTTTTTAAGGGCAGGACAGCTGTCAGCAACACATCCAATATCATCACACTGATTGGAGTCAAGGTTGGCTACTCCTGGCTCCAATTAGCTCTGGGAGAAGTCATTAAGCTAGGGCCTCACATACTTTTTCCTCCCTGCACTGTGAATTTTTACATGTTATGTGCAATTAAACCATGGCAACATCTAATGTTTGTCTAGTATTATGTTCAGCAGACTGTGTTCTTCTATTGTTGTGACTTAGATGACATTCAGAGCACATTTTATGCCCAATTCATGCAAAACTCCACATAATCCCAAGGGGTTCACATACTTTTTCTTGCAACTGTACATTTAATTTGCATAATGCACTCTGGTGCTAAATGTGTGCTTTAATTTCTAGGTATATATGTTTAAAAAACTTTTTTCGTCATTTATTCAGCACCACTTAAAGAAGCTGGAGGGGAGGCGTCTGGACTTTGATTACAAGAAGAAACGACAAGGCAAGATCACAGATGAAGAGATTCGTCAGGCTTTAGAGAAATTTGATGAGTCCAAAGAAATTGCAGAATCAAGCATGTTTAACCTTCTGGAAATGGATGTAAGGAAAAATGTACCTTTTTGTTTAAATTTAGAATTTTCCCTTTAAGTTTTATGTGCCAGTTGAATAATTTAGTACTTGTATACTGCATGATCAGACAGTGATTTGCAAAATAAATACTACCGAATAGAAAGCAAAGGGAGAAACATGTTTTTCTGATTGGTGCTGCTGCACACAGTGCTAATATTTTAAAGGTTCTCTTTCTTTATCCAAGCCTTTTTGGTGTTTTCATACTTATTGAAAACTAGATGAATTGTCCTATTATTTTATCATTCACAGTTATGTACAACCATCATAGAATACACTTGCACAAAAAAAGTGCTTGTAAAATTTCACAAAAAAGTAATTTTAAAATACAGTATATACCCAATGAAAATACATCAAAGTTTACTTTTTCTTTTCCAATAATTCCTACTGTTTCACGCTAAATGAGTACACATATTTGCATCATTCAGAGGCCATAAGAAAACATCAAAGTGCAATAAATGGTATATCTTATAACATTTACAGTATATGTGTAAATCAGCCTGTATAAGGCATATGCAGTGTTGCCTATCTCTTCTGATAGCCCACTGCCCTGCAATGGTATATTATTTGTGCTCCTTGCCACCTCCCTGCTCAGTCAGAGACCTCTCTTTTTGGTTTCCTTGATTTGTTGCTGTGGATATGCTCATGTGGTCTTCCCTATGTGCCAAACCCCTACACATGTTGCATGGGAGGGAGGGGTGCAATGATATCATCAACCTGGTTTATCTCCAACACCAATTGACAATGGAGCTTATTCTTTCAGTGGGGAGGTGGCGAGGGAACAAGGATCTGTGATTAGGACTTGCTGGGAGGTGAGCCATCAGGGCTCTGTCACATTGCCCCAAATGGTCCGGAGTCTCTTTAACCACTTGCCTACCAGGCACTTATACCCCCTTATTTACCAGGCCAATTTTCAGTTTTCAGCGCTGCCGCACTTTGATTGACAATTGCGCGGTCATGCAACATTGTACCCATATGAAATTTTGATCATTTTTTTTCTCACAAATAGAGATTTCTTTTGGTGGTATTTAATTGCCACTGGGCGCTTTACTTTTTGCGTTATAAAAAAAAAGTGCAAAAAATTTGAAAAAAAAAAAAGTTTCTTTGTTTCTATTATAAAATTTTTCAAACAGTTATTTTTTCTCCTTCACTGTTGTACGTTGATGAGGCAGCACTGATGGGCACTGATAGGTGGCACTGGTGGGTGCACTGCTGGGCACAGGTGGGTGATCTGCTGGGCACAGGTGGGCAGAGCTAGTGGGTGCACTGCTGGGCACAGATGGGCGGAACTTGCGGGTGGCACTGCTGGGTACCGATCATCAGGGCACTGATCATCAGTGCCCTGATGATCGGTGCCGATCCCCGCTCGGACAACTGCCGGTTCTCGGCAGTACTTTCCTCACGATCTGACAGCGTGAGGAAAGTGCAGCCGAGAACCGGCACTTGCATTTCCCTCTGATCAGCGTGTCATTGGACACCGCTGATCAAGTGGTAAAAGGCCGCTGTGATTGGCCTTTTACCACATCACGTGATCAGCTGTGTCCGTAGGACACAGCGATCACGGAGATTGCCGGGTGCGCGCCCCCTGGGGCGCGCAGGAGAGCGCGTTCTGGGAGGCCGTCATATGACGTCCACTCAGAACTGGCCGGCCCGCAGTGCAGCCGTCATTCGGCTATCTGCGGTCGGCAACTAGTTAAAGCAACCCTGTCATTAGTTTTTAACTTTACCAAAACTCATAGACTTAAAGACATAAACTCCTCTAGATAAAGCAGTGTTTGGCAGCAGGGGCACTAGGAAAGAGAAATATCTTTACTCTTCTTTTACAGGGTATGAGTTTCGGCAGATTTAAAAACGGACAGGGTCACTTTCAGAGTGACAGATAAACTAGTATTATGGCAAAGAATACACATTCCTGCTTGTTCGGGGAATTAAATGTTTATTTGTTCTAATGTATGCAAGGTAAAAATGTACAGGTGAAACTCAAAAAATTAGAATATCGTGCAAAAGTTCATTTATTTCAGTAATGCAACTTTAAAGGTGAAACGAATATATGAGACTCATTACATGCAAAGCAAGATAGTTCAAGCCGTGATTTATCATAATTGTGATGATTCTGGCTTACAGCTCATGAAAACCCCAAATCCACAATCTCAGAAAATTAGAATATTGTGAAAAGGTGCAATATTCTCGGCTCAAAGTGTCCCACTCTAATCAGCTAATTAAGCCATAACACCTGCAAAGGGTTCCTGAGCCTTTAAATGGTCTCTCAGTCTGGTTCAGTAGGAATCACAATCATGGGAAAGACTGCTGACCTGACAGTTGTGCAGAAAACCATCATTGACACCCTCCATAAGGAGGAAAAGCCTCAAAAGGTAATTGCAAAAGAAGTTGGATGTTCCCAAAGTGCTGTATCAAAGCACATTAATAGAAAGTTATGTGGAAGGGAAAAGTGTGGACGAAAAAGGTGCACAAGCAGCAGGGATGACCGCAGCCTGGAGAGGATTGTCAGGAAAAGGCAATTCAAAAGTGTTGGGGACTTTCAAACGGAGTGGACTGAGGCTGGAGTCAGTGCATCAAAAGCCACCACACACAGACGGATCCTGGACATGGGCTTCAAATGTTGTATTGTCAAGCCGCTCCTGAACAACAAACAACGTCAATGACCTGGTCTGAGTTGCTCAGTGGTCCAAAGTCCTCTTTTCTGATGAGAACAACTTTTGCATCTCATATGGAAACCAAGGACCCAGAGTATGGAGGAAGAATGGAGAGGCACACACTGCAAGATGTTTGAAGTCCAGTGTGAAGTTTCCACAGTCTGTGTTGATTTGGGGAGCCATGTCATCTGCTGGTGTTGGTCCACTGTGCTTCATTAAGTCCAGGCTCAACGCAGCCATCTACCAGGAGATTTTGGAGCACTTCATGCTTCCTTCCACAGACAAGCTTTATGGCATTGCTGACTTAATTTTCCAGCAGGACTTGGCACCTGCCCACACTGCCAAAAGCACCAAAACCTGGTTCAATGACCGTGGGATTACTGTGCTTGATTGGCCAGCAAACTCACTGACTGAACACCATAGAAAATCTATGGGGCATTGCCAAGAGAAAGATGAGAGACATGAGACCGAACAATGCAGAAGAGCTGAAGGCCGCTATTGAAGCATCCTGGTCTTCCATAACACCTCAGCAGTGCCACAGGCTGATAGCTTCATGCCACGCCGCATTGAGGCAGTAATTGCTGCAAAAGGGGCCCAAACCAAGTACTGAGTACATATGCATGCTTATACTTTTCATAGGTCTGATATTGTTCTATGTACAATCCTTGTTTTATTGATTGCATGTAATATTCTAATTTTCTGAGATTGTGGATTTGGGGTTTTCATGAGCTGTAAGCCATAATCATCACAATTATGACAAATTACGTCTTGAACTATCTTGCTTTGCATGTAACGAGTCTATCTCATATATTCGTTTCACCTTTTAAGTTGCATTACTGAAATAAATGAACTTTTGCACGATATTCTAATTTTTCGAGTTTCACCTGTACAGATGAAACATGTGGGTTGCCATTAATGTCCTCTCTAACACTGCTGGTTGCCTGGGTTTCATGCTGATCCAGTGGCTTTAGTCATTTTTGAATCAGTTACCCTGAAAATGCTTGCAGGGAAAGAAAACGAAGTTCAGCTCAATTAAATTACAATTCAACTCAATTAAAAAGATGCGGAACTGAAAGTCTTCTTTAGACTCCAGTGTCACATAAAAAACCTGCGCTCCTTATTGCAGTAACTTCTGGACATTTTTGTAAATTAAATTTTAATAACATAACAAACACTTGAAGCACAAAATAATGCACCAGTCTGCTTTTTGTGTTGACTTATTCACAGTAATTAAACTTTTGAAATTGCTACTATAAGGCACACAGACCTTTTGCTTATGCAGTACCATTCTATTGTCTATAAAACAGTCATTTGCTGTAGTTTAGTACATCTCACTCTGTTGAGATTATGATAGACTGTAGACGAAATTTTATCAGGGAATTAAAATCATAACTCCAAAACTTTTATCTTGCATTTTATCCATTTTTCTGGAAACAGATTTATATTCCAGCTGATCAATGCATTAATGACCCCATGCTTGGCTCTATTGACTCCATTACTATACATTTTTGTATGTGTGTGTGTGTAGTGTACATACATTATAATTCAGGTGAGGTTGCTTTTGAGTAAAATGTTATAAAAGTAAATAATTAGGTCTCTTTCACACCATCGCAAGGGAAAATACACATCCGTTTTCCTCAAAGCGCATCATGCATTTTTAGTGCATTACATTAAAATATAACACAAAGCAAGATACATTGTATTTGGATTTTGCTTGCATTTTACGGGTGTTTTCTTTCATTTTTATTGCTTTTCTACAGTCTCTTGATTTTTGGTGCAATTGTGAGTGATTTTAGGATAAATTCTACTGTCCTCATCCTGCCCTAGCTTATATGTGGCTAGCTTCTAAATAATTCCATCTCCATCATGGATCATTCACCTACTACTTAGCTGCTCCTTGCCTCTCTCTGACTATCCATACCCTTGCTCCTCTTTGCTGGGCTCATCTCCTCTCTGCACACCAGAGTAGGATAAACAATTTCCTTTCTGTAGACACTTGGGAAATAAGGACCTGTTAACTGAAAACTGCACTATATAAAACATTTTAATGTGTTTCAAGTGCACTTTTTATGTGTTGCCATAGACTATATTGTATTTGCTAAATCATACAAAGGATGCAGCAAGCAGATTTTTTTTAAAACACACAACATACCTTCATCTAACAAAACATACTGAAGTGAAGAGCTTCATAAATTCTAATGGTAACCCTGTTTTATGCAGTGCAATCCTGCTGTGTAGCGCACATAAACATGATGGTTGTGAATGAGTCCCTATACTTTAAAAAAAAAAAAAAAGGACATTCCACTGATAGCTTAATATATTTATTTTTCATAATAGGACCCTTTTTAAAAATGTTTCTGTTTTAGCTCAATAAATCAAGCAGTTTCTTTTATTTTATTTTCTCAGATTGAACAAGTGAGCCAGCTTTCTGCTCTCGCACAAGCACAACTGGAATATCATAAGCAAGCAGTACAGATCTTACAGCAAGTCACTTCAAAACTGGAACAGAGGTAAATATGGTAATTGAACAATTGAATTGGTAACCTCTTGTGAAGAAAATCGTACTAATTCTAATGCACTTTGTATACAAGTAGTGACCATGGCTTCTTGTTGAAGCTCTAACATATGCCTTGCATGTCACAGTGCAGTATTCTGAGCTGTCGAGAGCTGGGTGCAATGCCTTGTGCTGCTCTGACTGTACAGTAGTTGGTTATTGCATATTGTGCACACTGACAACATCTGGAATGTTCAGAAGATAAAAGGGTAAATGAATGCTTGTGAGAAGAGTCCTGGTAACCTTTTTCCCTGGGACAGGAAATTTTCAGTTGACAGCAGGAATAAAGTTAAAATTTTCCAGTGGGGAAATCCTGTTGGATAGGAACCGCCTAAGAGACTCCTGATGAAGTTACGTGTTGACGTAACGTGTAGGGTATGCCGATGACGTCAAGCCGTAAACCGGAAGTCTACGTGCCGCCATTTTGCATGAGGGATTACAGCATGTACTCAACTTTGAACACTGTATAGTGAGTTTTTAACCCTCTGGTGTCCCAGGGGGACACATTTTAATGTGAGTGGATATATATTATATTAAATAAAGGCCATTCTTGGTTGTACATACCACACTTTATTCAGCATTTTTTTACATGATTGCGGAGTGGATTGGATCTACACAAAAGTGCTGGCAAAGAGTTTACAAAGAGTGGGAAGACTTTGTACCATTATAGCTGCCCGGGTTAAAAGGGAAAAGTTTGGTTTGACCTGTCATTATGGGTCAAACTTTGAAGTGAGCACATAAGTGTGTTGGAGGTGGAAGAGCACTAAGGGGTGATACAGGAGCACCGTACTCTTGTATACAGTAGTGTGACTACACTGGTCTACACAAAGTTATTGTGGAATTAAAGAGACTGTTCACAACGATTTATGTTATATTAAGTTGCACGATTTATGTTGTAAATATATCACAAAGCACTGTGGATGTTACAGATTATGTATGGATCTACATATGTTAATAATCCAATATATGCTTTTGGCCATATATTTCAATGAAGTATTCACAAGTACGGAGGAGTATCATTTACTGTTACTATTGATCAATACGCATTTAGCAGGTCGCAGTTGATACAGTAGCACCATTGCATTTATTTATTTATTTAATTTTTGCGCTGCATTTTCACCATTTATTTATTTTGTTATATGTGGGAACACATCACATGCTAGCTGCACATCTGGTAGGAGGTATTTATTGCTCTGAAGTTTTTTCTATATATATTGTCTAAGAGAGTATTTCACACTTTGGAGAGATTTCCTCTCACTTCTAGTAAATATGTGATAAGAAATTAAACCTAACTGGACACTGACAAAAACAAAAAAAAAACAGAAAATATATCCATTTTCTATGCTATCTACAATAAGTAAAGTGGTTGTAAAGGCTCAAGGTTTTCACCTTCATGCATTCTATGCTCTCTGCTATGGGGGCACTTGACAGGAGAGAGGGGCCAGGAGTGCCTGTGGGGGAACCGAGAAGAGGAAGATTGGGGCTGCTCTGTGCAAAACCACTGCACAGAGCAGGTAATTATGATATGTTTGTGGGTTTTTTTTTTTAAACTTGCCTTTTAATATCACTTTAAGGTCTCACCTGGCCTACAGCTACCATAGTTGTAAACACCTGAAAATAAGTTCCAGGCACAATTTAATGAAACAGTCTACCTAGGCTAGTACTAAATCATACTATGATCTATTTATGGCATTTTAAAAAAATCTAAGTTTTTTTTATTGAAAAGTTTTGTATTTTTCAACAAACACAGTTAGACACTTTATACAATAAGTAATCTATGATTCTCATAGAAGATGTAAATTGTAAAAGGATAAGGAAGGGGAAACAACCAAACAAACGCAATAAAATTTGCTGTATGCAAATTACAGCATAATTACAGCATCACATGTAGACATTATTTACTGCACTACTAATCAAGACTACAGCATAGTATGATACCTAGTCTTCATACTATGTCAAACAATACTTTATCTACATTGTGATATGGTAAGCATCATGAGCATTCTGCTTTGTTGATCAGTTGTGAATAGTAGGCAACTCAACATTTCTTTTTGAAAAAGATATGTGATCCAGAAGCAGTGGCTCTTCTGTGTCAGGGTGCAATCAAAAATGGGGTAGAATTCTGTGAGTTTTGATGTCAATCGCCGGCTTTCATTGCTCCTCCATTGTCCGTGCTCCATCCTCTATCCTCCCCTGCAGCAGCCACTCACTGACACAGGGGAGCTGCTGCTTCTGGATCACGTGACCATACCGAATCGGATTAAAGAAAAGGTATATACACTATCTTCTATAAACGGTATACAGCAAAAGTAAAAGGAGGGTGGAGACAACATTTTTAACAAGACATACAGTGGGTAAAATGAGTATTGAACATGTCACTATTTTTCACAGTAAATATATTTCTAAAGGTGCTATTGACATGAAATTTTCACCACATGTCAGTAACAACCCATTCAATCCATACATACAAAGAAACCAAAACTAATAAGTTCAGAATTTAAGTTATGTGTAATAAAATGGAATGACACAGGGAAAAAGTTTTGAACACGCTAACTGAAATTTATTTAATATTTCATACAAAATCATTTGTTGATAATGACAGCTTCAAGACACCTCCTGTATGGATGAACTAGTCACATGCATTGCTCAGGTGTGATTTTGTTCATTCTTCCACACAAACAGTCTTCAAATTTTGAAGGTTGCTGTGGGCTTCTTTTATGAACTCTGATCTTTAGTTCTTTCCATAGATTTTCTTTTGGATTCAAGTCAGGTGATTGGCTGGGTCATTCTAGCAGCTTTATTTTCTTTCTTTGAAACCAATTCAGAGTTTCTTTGGCTTTGTGTTTGGGATCATTGTCTTGCTGAAATGTCCATCCTCGTTTCATCTTCATCATCCTGGTAGATGGCAGCAGATTTTTATCAAGAATGATTTCCATTCATCCTTCCTTTAATGATATGAAGTTTGCCAGTACTGTATGCTGAAAAACAGCCCCACACTATTATCTTCCTACTTCCAAACTTCACGGTTGGTGTGGTGTTTTTGGGGTGATGTGCAGTGCCAATTGATCTCCAAACATGATGTGTATTATGGCATCCAAAAAGTTCAATTTTGGTCTCATCTGATCAGGTTGTATTCTCTCAGTATTTCATAGGCTTGTCTAGATGTTGTGCAGCAATATTTAAACAAGATACAAAATGCTTTTTCTTCAGCAGTGGAGTCTTGCATGGTGAGTGTACATAGAGGTCGTGGCATTTGAGTGTGTTACTTATTGTTTTCTTTGAAACCATTGTACCTGCTAATTCCAGGTCTTTCTGAAGCTCTCCACAAGTGGTCCTTGGCTCTTGCGCAATTCTTCTGATAATTCTCTTCACTCCTCTGTCAGAAGTCTTGCGAGGAGCACCTGGTCGTGGCCATTTTACGGTGAATTTATGTTCTTTTGGATTATGGCTCCTACAGTGCTCACTGGAACATTCAGAAGTTTAGAAATCCTTCTGTAACCTATACCATCAGTATGTTTTGCAACAATAAGGTTGCAAAGGTCTTGAGAGAGCTCTTTGCTTTTACTCATCATGAGATTTCTCTTATGTGACACCTTGGTAAGGAGACCCCTTTTTACAGACCATCAGTTGAGACTGAACCAGCTGATATTCATTTTCTAATTACTGATAAATTTCAGCTGGTGTCTTGGTTTTCCATGTCTTTTTGCACCTCCCTTTCTTCATGTATTCAGTACCTTTTCCCTGTGCCATTCCATTTCATTACACATAACTTAATTTCTGAACTTATTTTTTTTGGTTTCTTTGTATGTGTGAGTTGTTAGCGACATGTGGTGAAAATTTCATGTCAATAGCACCTTTTAGAAATATATTTACCTAGAAAAATGGTGACGTGTTCAATACTTATTTTATCTGCTGTATATTTAGACTATACTTGCACTTCAAGCAAATTTTGTACATGCACCCATTATGCCTGGGTGCCAGAGTTTTGTTTTGCAGCATAATTGGCCTCAACAAGTTCAGATTCCAATTTCCTGGTATTTGTTTTTAAATGTTTTGATACCCTTGAGTATTAATTTCTGAATGAATCATCTCTGTCCATTCAGGATAGCAACAGATAGATCTGTCATTTTTGAGTGACTGTAGAAGGTGATACAGTTGTGTTCAAAATAATAGCAGTCAGACATCACTAAACTGATCAATTACTGTTTTTGGTAGAAATTATATTTCTACATGGCAAATAATTTACTAGCAGGTGTAGTAGAGTAATAGAAATCCAAAACACCCAACAGTCATGACATGCATGCTGCTGATTCTGTGTAATTGAATCACTAATTGAAAGGGGCATGTTCAAAATAATAGCAGTGTGGAGTTCTATTAGTGAGGTCATTCATTCTTTGAAAGACAGGTGGCAATTATTGCCCTTATTTAAGGAAGGAAGGCAGCAAATGTTGTACATGCTGGTTACAGTGCATTTCTCTCTGTAAATTCTGAGGAAAATGGGTCGTTCCAGACACTGTTCAGAAGAACAGCGTACCTTGATTAAAAAGTTTTGGAGAGGGGAAAACATATAAAGAAGTGCAGAAAATGATAGGCTGCTCAGCTAAAATGATCGCAAATGCTTTAAAATGGCAACCAAAACCTGAAAGACGTGGAAGAAAGCGAAAAACTACCATTCGAATGGATAGAAGAATAGCCAAAATGGCAAGGACTCAGCCAACAATCAGCTCCAGGAAGATCAAAGAAGGTCTAAAGCTACCTGTTAGTACTGTTACAATTAGAAGATGCCTATGTGAAGCCAAGCTATCTGCAAGAAGCCCCCGCAAAGTCCCACTGTTGAAACAAAGAAAATGTGCTGAAGAGGTTACAATTTGCCAAAGAGCACATTGACTGGCCTAAAGAGAAATGGCGCAACATTTTGTGGACTGATGAAAGTAAGATTGTTCTTTTTGGGTCTAGTGGCCGGAGACAGTTTATCAGACGACCTCCAAACACTGAATTCAAGCCACAGTACACTGTGAAGACAGTGAAGCATGGTTGCGCAAGCATCATGATATGGGGATGTTTCTCATATACTACGGTGTTGGGCCTATTTATCGCATAACAGGGATCATGGATCAGTTTGAATTCATCAGAATACTTGAAGAGGTCATGCTGCCTTATGCTGAAAAGGAAATGCCCTTGAAATGGGTGTTCCAACAAGACAACGACCCCAAACACACCAGTAAACGTGCAACATCTTGGTTCCAGACCAACAAGATTGACGTTATGAAGTGGCCAGCCCAATCCCCGGATCTTAATCCAATAGAAAAATTGTGGGGTGACATCAAAAATGCAGTTTCTGAGGCAAAACCAAGAAATAAAGAAGAACTGTGGAATGTAATCCAATCATCCTGGGCTGGAATACCTGTTCACAGGTGCCAGAAGTTGGTTGACTCCATGCAACACAGATGTACAGCAGTTCTCAGAAACAGTGCTTATACAACTAAATATTAATTAAGTGATTCAAACATTTTTCAGTTTATATAGTGAATGTTTGAGTTTGTAAAGAATACAAACACTGCTATTTTTTTGAACAGTCTAATATTCACTTTTCTGCAATTTTTTTTAGAGGAACAACACAAATTTGATATATTTTTCTTCATGTTTTGATTTGGAATAGAATGTGTAGTGTTCCCAATGCATTTGTGTGTATGGAAATAAAAGCTATTAGAAGGATTTTGAGCTTTATTCACTTTTTTCAACACACTGCTATTATTTTGAACGCAACTGTATATTATGTGTAGATGCTGCCAATGTGGCCCACCTGGTTTGGGGTGCACTTGGCAATTTTGCTGACCACAGTGCATAGAATCCAGTAGAAACGGGTCCTATTGAGATGTTTTGCACAATACACAGCTTCACAGTCAAGCACAAGTACACCGCTGCTGGTAGGATCCAGTGAATCCTGTAAGCTCTTAATGAAGGGGTGTTGTGGTTGTGCTGAGTCCAGACCGATGCAGACAGTGCTCAGAAAGGCTCTTTTCCAGATCTCTTCACCAGCCCGAAGTGGCTCCTTTTACATTAGTAGTCTTAGAAGAACAGTTATCCACAAAACCAAGTAAGAGATGGTGACTACAGTGTTTAAAAGTGTTTGTAAACTCTTAACATTGAACTCTTATTTGCTCCCTTTTGGTCCATTTTATATGCAGTTGACATAATTTTGTTACTTTTTGTTGGATAATAGCAAATACACTTGTTGATTTTGTCAAAGATACTGTCTTGTATGCTGTACATTCTGCAATGTTATCTGAGGGAGTCTCATCTTCCCCCAAGGTTAGCTTTGTGAACTACAGGATACTCCCATGTTAATGAGACTAGCAGAGGGGGAAGTGTTCTGTAGTCCTAGCACATATCCTTTCCTAGGGTGACAACGCTGCTTCTCCATGAATGCAGTATGGTTAGGCATTCTGAACCCTAGGACAGAAAATGTCACTGGTAGGACCACCAGGTGGAAATAAAAGAAACAAAGCATGAAAAAAGTCAACTAGTGCAACCACCACCACATATAAGGAATGTTAAATTGCAATATATTACATATCTTAATTATACAGTACAGGACACTGGACTTCTATTCATAGATAACCATAGGTTATATGTCGCTATTGTTGGGTGACTAGACACTGGAAAAAGCTTTCCTGGGAATGCCATCCATTTAACCCCACCCACTTTGTGGGACTCCAGTTTTCTGCTAGTGTCCTTATGCATTGGACCTCTTCTTCTAAGAAGTTTCTAAACCATTCATTATTTTTCTTTTCTTTGACTGTCACTTAACCAATTACCGACCATCCCACTTACAAGCGGCAAAACGGGTTCTTTGCGCTGGATCACGTATCTGATATGCCCCAGCAGCACGAGCCGATCAGTGGGTCCCGGCCATCAATCATGATTGATGGCTGGGACTTGCCGATCGGCAAAGCGTATGACAAGACAGAGCTCTGTCCTGACATTGAAGCTGTGCCGGTTTTTGTTTCCCTGAATATAAACCAGCACATCCCTTAGTAAAAAAGCACACAGTATAAACTTAACACATTGTTAGGCACACAGTTAGCCCTTTGATTGCCCCTAGATGTTAACCCCTTCCAAGCCAGTGTCATTAGTACAGTGTCAGTGTATATTATTAGCACCGATCACTGTAATAATGTCACGGGTGATGTCAGTGTCAGTTAATGAGTTCCCACAAAGTATCAGTTAGTGCCAAATTACCATACTATCACTGTCCTGCTATAGTAGACTATTGTAGACGCTATAACTTTTACACAAACCAATTATTACACACTTATTGGGATTTTTTTACCAAAAATATGTCACAGAATACATTTTGGACTAAATTTTATGAAGAAACTTGATTGTTTAAAAAAATTTTTATTAGAAATGTTTTATTGCAGAAAGTAAAAAATATTGTTAAAATACCTGGTGGTGATCAAACACTACCAAAAGAAAGCTCTATTTGTGTGAAAAAAAAATTATATAAATTTTGTTTGGGTACAGTGTTGCGTGCCTGCGCAGTTGTCAGTTAAAGTAGCGCAGTGCCATATAGCAAAAAATGTCCTGGTCATGAAGGAGATAAAATCCTTCGGAGGGCTAGTGGTTAAAGGCTCAGAAGACAAGGCGGGTCACAAGATGATATTTTTGGTCCTGTGAAGTGTTTTTATTGCAAGGCACAGTCTAACTCAGCAAGTTTTTCTTAATGCCTTAAGTGTAAAACCCCTATAATCTGTCTTTTTTGATTAGTATGTCTTCTGTGTCCTTCTGTTCATTTATTCCTCATTTTAGCATCATCATACTATTTTGACTTTGGGCCATCTTTCCCTGAGAGTCTACAGTGCATATGCGTGTGGGAGTGTGTGCGTAGGGGTAAAAGACAGCTGTTCTGCTATAACTGCATTAGCAGCAACGATACTCTGTGTTTTAAAACTAAGAAGTACAACAGCATTCTAATAATCACTTACCTATACATTTTTTTGTTCTAGCTACTTGTGCTTACCAGCACTAATGGAGCACAAGTCCATTTAAAAAAAATAGTTTTAACATCTCTAATAATCTTAAAACTTAATGTATTTTCTTTGTAGCTTAACTCATATTTTAGTCTTCTAAAGAGAAAACAACAGCTTAATAAAATGGTCCAGCAGCTCAGATAATCTTGATGGTGTTAATTATAGTTCAGTAGACTGTTAACAATACATTTTAGAGAATCCTGTGGAATAACATATATGAAACTGAAGATATCATTTTTTTTTTAGTAGTGGTGTAATGTAAAGAAGGTTGGTTGAGTATGTCAAGTCTTCAGAATTCTTTTGAAAGGTTGTTTAATAATTCTATACAGTGTGATGTGAAGGCAAGATTTAAACCTTACAACTGTCTTCCTGTCTTATAGCCAAAACAGGAAGTGAGAAGAAATCTTTCCAAGGTGAGGGAATCCCTGGTTGTCACCAGGGTCACCAGAACTTGTGTCCTCATTGGATGATTTCTCTTTTATTCTTTTTCTATTGACAAAACAAAGTTTGGGATTCTCTTATCAGTTTCACTCTCAGTGATGCCAGTAAACAGTTCACCCTCTCTCTCTCTATAAATATCCTATTTGGGAACAAAAAGCAATAAAAACCTGACAGGTATTCCAATTCCTCTCCACTCTATCTTAGACTAAAAAAGTTTTTCCTTTAGCTATAGCTAATATAATTTGTATTTGAAATCAAATCTTATTGCTACGTGACCTTTATTGTAAATGACTCTTCAAAAATTTCCTTCCTTGGCAAAATAAAAACACATGCAAAGTAACTATTGTTTTTCCTTTAACGTGCATGAGTAATTACAAATCCCTGATATCCCACATATTTTGCAGAATCAGAGATGCTTCAAACCGACCAAGACGAGAATATCAGCCTAAGCCTCGAATGAGTTTGGAACTTGCATTGCCCGAGAACACTCAACATAATGGAGGAATCTCTCTTGCTACTACTCCAAAACCATCTGGTAGGAACACGTATTGGCATCTTCATCATTACAATTGGAGTAAAGAAAATGTGAAACTGAATTTGTTGCTAATAGAAACTGGTTAGATTGGGTTCTTGCGCTAGTGAGCTCTATTGGATTTCTGCCTTACAAGAGCTTTTTTCAGAAAGGTCAGAAAGTTCAATAATGGTCTCAGCAGACCAGAGGACTATTTTCACATGCCTTTTGGAAAACTCTTAACAGGATTTGATATGGTTTTTGTTTAGCAATGGTTTAATCTCTTCACTTAACCATTAAGTCAAGCTTTTTGGGGCCTAATGGTTATATTTGCCCCATAAAAGATTTCTCCCATCTCAGCTGTGGATTTGTCCTGTTCCTGCAGAGGTGCCATTAGCCCTTCTTGTGTGGTTGTATCTCTAAGTAATGCCCCCCTTACTCAATTACTGAGCTTTGATGCAAGGCCTTTTCTACTCATGGTTATGCCATAATAATGGATTTAACAGGGCCCTGCAGACAGTTCATAATTTGGTACCAAACTTTGGTGCTACTCCAGAACTGTATTTCAAACCTGATTTGATAGGGTGATGCTGTTTATTTAGACATGCTCCCTAGAAAACTCTGGGGCCTTCCAGACGTAGGTGAATATGAACTCATTAGGCTTCATACACACAGGCGATTTGACTTGTACAGTGTAGAAACCTGGAGTTTTTTTTTCCAATCCAAGTTCTGCTGTGCATCTGATTATGAGAAATGAATACCAAGAGACACCCAAGCACATATGTTAGTTTTATGTAAAAAATACATTTAACACTGAGAGCTGATTCACACATGTGCAGTGTGGATTGAAGCTCAGGTTTCACAGTTGATTGATACAGTAGTTGTTCAGCGGTTCATGTCAGGTTTACACATCAGGTTCAGGACAGGATTACCTTAGGATCTTCTCCTGTTCACAGATATGCGGTTTAGAAACAGTTCCCATAGAGGTCAATAGCCTGTAATCTGCACCAGAACCTGAAGGTACTGTTCAGAATTCGAATACGACTCTTTTTTTTTAAAACCGCACTGAAGCCACACCGGCAATGCACCAGACATATGTGAACAGGCACCATAGGAAGCAATGTTTTTTCACATGTCATGTGGATTGGATGCAGTTCAAACCATATCCAATCCCCAAATATGTGAATGGGCACTAAATTCCAGCCTTACCTTCAGTTTTGTACAGGTGTACAGACATCTTTCCTATACGGAAATTCTGTTATTGGATTTCAGCTTTTTCAGTCATGGAGGTTTACTATCACATGTGGGCTTTCTCTAGGGCAGTCTGCATGCAAGGAACGTCTACTACTCCAGACTGACACCCAACCATCAAGACATTTTGATATTTGCATAACTCCACCCAAGAGCCAGCAGCGCTGCTTGCATCAGGGCTAAGAAAGCTATATACAACAGCTTGCTGGCCTCTCTCACCAAAGGTGATCTTCCTGCAATGCATAGAGAAGCAAAGAGTCCCAGTGATGATATCACTGGGTCTATAATAAAATCTGTAATAAAAAATAGAAAGGCTTTTTTCAAAAACATCATCAGCGGTGAGGTGGGGGAGGAGGAACCAAGGAAAGCAAAGTATAAGCAGATTGCACTTCAGTTTTAATTATTTCTTTTAATGAATCTGAGGCTCTATCTTTTTTCAAATCAAACTGGATTTCATCAATTTCATGCTAATCACCTTGTCTTGGTAGTATAATTTGCAACATCATTTGCACTTTAAATGATTGCACTGCAAGTGAGTATTGTGCCTTCCAGTAGAGGGACCAAATTCTCACTGCTTATTTACAGGTAAAAACAAAATCCCTGGAATTCATAAAGATTGGAGCTGGCAAATTTTTCAAAAGTGTCTCTCATGCTTTCTAAACAGGGTGAAGAATGCACCAAATTCATATAGCTTTCTAGAACGTGTAGTTGGACTTGTCTTACGCTGCACCACTTTTAGAATGAACATGAGACACTTTCGCAAAATCTCTCTGAGACAGTTTTTCTCTGTACATCAGGGGTGTCCAACATTTTGACTCTCCTGGGCTGCATTAGAAGAAGAGGAATTACCGTGAGTCACACATAAAGGCCTCTTGCACACAGTACTGATGTTTGAGCATCTTCTTTTTTCAACGTAATTTCAGGCATTTGTTTTGCACGTATGCCAAATACGACATCCCTCCAGCCATTCAATTTACAATTTCATGTTGGGCTGTTGGTTGGACACCACTGCTGTACATCAAGAGAGTTCGTCTTAACAAGCCCCACTTTTATATTCGGTGCATTCAGTGTGACACAATGTAAAAGTAGTGCATTTTAGAAGCACCTGACTTTGATGCACAAATCGCGGTCAGAACCAACAGTGTTGCAAATACTTCATGAATTTGGGCAATACATTAGGGATTCATGCCAGAAAAAGTGGCCCAAAAAACTTTACTAAATTCCCCCCAACGTGTTTTTTTTTTTTTATTTTTTTATGGGTGACAGGTTTACATTAAAGTCACAGTGAAATGCTTTTTTTTTCACAGAGCTAAATCGATAACATGACTGATTTTTTGTAAACCACAGTTTAATAAATACGTACTTGCATTTAAAAAAAAAAAGAAAAGATGAATCTCAGAGCTTGCACCTTTAAAACAAGTCAGGAACTGTAGCTGTATTTATATACATTTAGATTGGATAGACTTGGGACTGGTTATAACCCCTATCCATGTTTTCCTGTCTGTGGCCCTTTTGAGAAGAATTTCTTTCACTTTCTGTAACAGGAAGCGAGAGGAAAACTTTTCAAAGGTAAGGTTTTTCCCCTCACTGGAACTGGTGTCTCCATTGGATAATTATGCCTTTGTTCCTTTTTTGGTGGCAAATCTTCCAGTTTGCATTTCAGGACACTTCCTGTATCATAGAAAATGGTCACTAAAACAATACAAAAGGGTGAATCTTCAAAGCTGGGGTACAAACAGTAATGCAGACCTGGAAAGAATTCCTTCCACGTGCTATCCAAGGGGTTGAAAATCCCCAACACACATGCCCAAGCAAGCACACAATGTCTTCTGTGCTGTCATGCAATGGCCTGGATGTAATTGACAGCTTCCTGAGCTGTCAATTACATTGCTTGGCCCACCCACCTCTGCTGGCATAGAAAGCACAGATGTCTGCTTGCCATTATGGGTGTTGCTAATGCAAAAATCAAAGAGATGTGTGCCCCAATCTCTCTACTGTTCCTACCCCTACGCTCAATTCAGGAAGGGAGGAGTGTTGTTAATCCTGCAGGATCTGCTCTTGCAGGGTAATTCGTGAATAAATAGAAAGAGGGATGTGAGCAATCTGCTAACTGGTCACATCCCGTACAGGTCACACCTCATTGGGAATCTGCAGCAGTTTTCCATATGAAAAAACTGTCATATTCCCTCTGTTAAGTCCGGATTGGCCTGCACTACTTTCGGTTTCACAGGTGTTTAGTTAGTGGCGTAATGCCACTCCTGACCATCCACCCATTATAATGGAGCAGAAAACAGGTTATTCCCCGTGATGTCTAATATGTTTATTTTCCATGATCATCAGCTCCATCTTGTGGCCATAGTGTGGCATATTCTTGAAGTGCCTAAAATAGTAAAATATTGCACTATGACAACTAGACTGGAGATGTTCATGATGGAAAAATGTCTTTTGTTTCAGATAAATTTGTTAAGTAAATCATCTTGTTTCGTCATAATCATTGTTAGAATGCTTAGTTTTTGGAATTTGTTTCGTATATTCAGATTAGTTTTGTATATTCCTTGTTCCAAATCAATTCATATTTTTAGAAGTTATTTAGAATATTGGCTATATGAATTTTAACATTTTATTTCCTTATTTCGGGAGATTACTTATGCACTCTGAGTCATTCCTGCTTGTCCAACCAACAAAGAGAAATAGAATGAGCTAATTGGATGATATTGATTGGAGATATGTGCATTCAAAAGTAACAAATGGAACTAAATTAATTTTGGATTCATTTGTTATATTGTTATTCAGAGATTCTTATGGATCCACCTCCATCCAACCCAAGCACAATAAATAGGAATCATCATCTTATTTTATGTTTATACCTTACTGTGTTTTTTGCAATATGTTTCCATTTGATATGTAGTGCATTTTTTATAATAATGAACAGTATCCATGCAAAAAGAATCGTCTGATTATCCAAGAGTCAGACTATCCTGCCACTCTCATCCAAATAAAACAAATGAATCTAAATGAGTACGAATGCAATTGTTATATTATTAAGTTGAAATACTTTCCTTATTCCCAATTCACTTTCTTTGTTGGGCCATGCACATACAAATTAAACAAATGCTCCCTCTTCCCCAGTACAAAAACGTATTAGAATATTCATACTACACTAGTACTAAAACTAAAAACGAATGGATCAGAACCAATTTGTATTATTTGCTATGTCATTATTTTTGGATGCTTCAAACAATAGCAAAAAAACCCCCAAAAGGCCCAAACCATTGCATCATGTTTTCATTGCAATGTTTTTCCTATACCTTGAAATACATTACAATTTGTGATTCAGAGATTTGGATACATCTGAATCTCCGAATCATGCAAATTTCATTTGAATTTCAATTCGTAATGAAATGAATTGCGCATGTCTAAAATAAGTAGAGCAGTGAGTCCTTGAAAATAAACACATTAGACACATTACAGGAGTATTCGTGATAGCTGTGGAAATGCTGTGACATTTGCACAACCAATTTTTGATGAATTGACCTCTTAAAGTGAAAAAGGTTGCTTACCCATGCTCTGTCCAAAACTGAAAAAACTTTAAAGTTATGGTAAAAATTAAGATATGGCGTAAAGATTTTGCAGTGGTGTGTTTTATTTTTTTGGAAATCGTGGTGTGCTTTCTGAAGTTGTAGATTGGTAAAACAATCCCTGCCAGTTCAATCTTAAACTGGCCATAGGTGGTCCCTGCTGAACCGGCTGAGAGTCAAACCATTTATGGACAGGCTTATTGCACTGAATTTGATTGTTGTACATCTTGGGTACAATCAGCCTCTTGGATTTTTAATGCGATTATTGCCAGCAGTTATAGCCATATATCATATATGTAGCAATAATCTCTGTGTTGTTCTGCTGTAGACCGCTCCCTTCTGGGAAAACACAGCAGCTTCGCAGGAGGGATTCCCCCATCAACACTTACTGTGTTGGTGGGGGAATTGAGTGATTTCCTTTCCTGCAATCTGTGGTTGCAGGAAAGAAAATCACATAATCTATGGCTGACTTTAGTGACCATATTGAGAGCACACCTTAAAGTAAACCTTTTAAAACTAGCATGGGATACCACAAGATTACTACTATTATATTCATTAGCTTTCCTCTGGATGTCTCTTCAGTAGTATGAAGACATGAGGCTTGATTCACCTGACTCTAGTGCTAAGCACAGAAAACTGTCATTCCCTGTTCATGAAAATGACTTTAATGGCCATGGACAAACACTCACTGGATAGGAGGCATGACTTGGTCTTGAAGCTGGGCTCCAGTATCAAAGTGTACCTAGTTTTAGAAAGTCACACAAAAGTTTTTTGATATATAGCCAGCAGGGGCGGACTGACCATTTGGAAACTCGGGCACTGCCCAAGGGCCGGGGTCAGTAGGGGGCTCCATGAGATGCCCCTGTACCTTTTTTCATAGGCTTTTTTGAGTTTGGGCAAGGACACAGGGGCCACATGAGTTGTCAGTCCGCCCCTGATAGCCAGCATCTTGTATCCGCTCTAAAGCAGGGTCCGTCATTTTAAAAGTGTATCATGACTCACAGATTCGCTATATGCGTACTTTACTTGATTTGTGGAGTTAGCATTGAGAAATGCGCAGTTTGCATCCTGGATAAATGATGTAAACCTTATGTTTATAAAATAATAACCCTGTAACTTCCTCACATTATTTTCAGTATTCTATTTTGGTACTAATATCTTCTGATTGTTTTATCTGGTGCAGGTGCTGCCATGGATCAGCCATGTTGTCGGGCTCTCTATGACTTTGAACCAGAAAACGAAGGAGAACTTGGCTTCAAAGAAGGTGACATCATTACTCTCACCAATCAAATTGATGAAAATTGGTATGAGGGGATGCTTCATGGCCAGTCGGGCTTCTTCCCCATCAACTATGTTGATATCCTTGTCCCACTGCCCCACTAAGATGTCTGACATTAACCACAATTCAATTGTACCACTGCTTTTAAATGCTGCTTTCTCCAGATCATCGGTACAAGCGCAGTGGTTTAAAACCCCTTACATTCCATGATCATTTCTATTTTTCTCTACTCCTTTTTTTGTTAATATGTGTTCCTTCTTCAGCCGTTGTATTTCTTTTTACCAGAGTCTTAGAGTCCTTTATAATAAATGCAGGAATAACATGTACTTGTCGTGGCAACCTTCCTTCCACATGGATACAGTTCACAGTAGTCTTAACATGCCCAACTGTTGTGTTTTTTGTTTTTTTTTTTCATTATTTTTCTCTTACTGTGTGTTTCCAGAAATAAATGTTTACAATGAAAAAAAGTGCTGGGACCACAAGGGAAACGTGTTTTTGCCTCAGTCTTGTAATTACAATGGAGTACATTCTGTGATGTTGTGGAAAAGAAACACTAGATTATTGTAGATTTCCTTTTAAATGTGCATAGAAGCTGGGCCAAATAAAATATTTCCTAGAAAACATGATTGTCGTATCATATGTTACAAAAGCTGAGTGAATGAAATATGTAACCTACTTTTTTTGATCTCTGTAAAATTAGGCACAGGTGGGTTACTGTGGCAGAGCAGTTAAAGGATGACAATTTTTACTCCCTTTAACATTACTGTCATTCTTCAGTTTAAAAAAAATGATGTAACACTGAACAAAAATGACAAAGTGACATTGCATTACATTTACAGGCCAGATGACTTTCTTAGGCCTAATAGCATATATTAAAATATAATTGTGTCCTGATCTTAGCTGTCCGATTGCAGAGGAAGCAGCCAGAGCTGCATATATGGTTTCCTTAATATCCCATGTATAAAGAAATGTTCCCACATACAAAACTGCAATGTCTGTTAATTGACACAATCAGTGTTATTTAGAAGGGTAAAGTTTAACGTCAAAGTACAGTAACTCATAACAACCTACCATAAACTGCTACAGTTAAATGAAGTTTGATCGGTTGTTTTGAGTGTGTACACTTTGCATGTTACTTTGAGTTTCTATTGCCTTATTTAATCATACTGAATTTTTATATTATTTTACCATGATTATACACTCCCTATTTTTAAATTTTAAAAAACCCATTTTACTCATTGCTTTTAATTATATGTCTTTATTTTTATATACTAAAATTATGACCTAGCTGTCAAACTAAAGGAACAAATGCAGATGTACAACACAATATTCTTTAACATAAAACAGCCACCATGAAATATCTTTTTGTAGTTTGTGTTAATAGAATCTAGAACAGTTTAAATGTGAGAACTAAAATGAATGCCAATTAAATACCAGTATTTTTGTAGAAAATATAGGAATGGGAGTGATGTCATAAGGCTGTTGTATAGAAGAATCAGGAGAGATGGAGAACAATTATAAATTAGTTGGTGAGCCTAGTTGATGGTGCCTGGTTTAAAGCAACTAGACCCCAAATTGTAAATGCAGCCCTGCAAGTAGTGCAGTTGTTGATACTTTTGTTCCCTGGCACTTTTGTGCATGAAGCTAAAGGCAAAGCAACAATTACATTTTTAAATAGCTTTGCCTCTCGTGTAGGCTGGAAACTTGCATGCAGCATTACAAAATTTATTTTAGGCAAAAAATGCCATATTTGAATGTCCACTATCATCAAAGTATGTATTGCTGAGTTTCCGCTATGTTTGAAATTGTACTGTATCTCAAAAATGGCCACAAAGGTGTTTAGTAGAGGCTGTAAATTTAAAAAATAGTTGCATCTTGTTCAAATTATAGATGTTGCACAGTGTTGTATGAATTTTGAAAAGCTATAGCTTCATTCTGAATGCTGCTGTGTTATCACCATATGAAGAAAAGAGATGCATAATTAACCATAGAGATTACTGATCTCTTTGGGAGGTACAGAACCTTCACTTTTTGACCAGGGTATAGATAAACTGCCATGAACCCTGAACCATGTATTGAATTAGGGCCCATAGCAATTGTATACTTGCATACTAATAACCCAATAGGGAGCATGAAAAAATATTTATATACACATCATGCTATTATATTTGCAAGGGTGCAAAGAGAATACATGTAAATAAATGTTGGTCCTAATGCAGCAGTGCTATAGCCCAGGTAGATGTTATTATTATCTATGATGCCAAGCCACTACTCCAGACCTTACTCCTGAACAAAAAGGGTTTCCACTGTGGTAAAGCACAAAGCCCATTAACATTCAATAGAACACAACTGTGAATTGTAGTGTTCGAATTTCTGAAAGTATTGTTACATATTAAGGAATGTATTAAAAAATGGTGTTGTAATTGTATTCTGAGAATTCCATGGTTAAAAAATGTTATATTACTACCAATAAAATAATTATTGAATTTCTATATGTTTAATGTACAAATAAGGTAATACACCTAGTGTGAGCTGGTCTATTCACAAGATGCAAACATATTCCAAACGCATTAATTAATTGGGTAACATTTTTACAGACTAATGATGCATTGTGAAATTTATTACTGGGAAACCATTCTCAGTGCTGAGCAATTCAAAAGAATCTGTTTGATTTGCCTGAACATTTCCTTGCAGATCTATATGAATGATGGACAAACATACAGTTCAGAAATCCAGGAAATCTCAATTATTGAATTGTACTATTCTCTTCAGGCTGTAAAAATCCACAGTGATTTCTTGGGGGAAAAAAACACGCTAACTTACTTGATTGGTCAATTGATTCACTAATTGCTACCAAAATTTCCAAGATTGTGCTATGTTTTTGCTAATTACAATCTAGTTACATTATGACAGTTTTGCAACGTAAAATGACAAATATTACAGAATGTCTTTCCATATTCTCAAAATCTGTATTGCTGGTGATAACCACTTAAGGACCTTTGACAACATTTATGATCTGTGATGTTTGGCTGTATAACAATATACATCCTGCTAATGTTAGGTACAAAATAGTGATCATTATTTACCCTTGCTACACCATCCTGAATGGAAGATGAAATGGTTTGTCATTGTGTCACACCCCTCATTATTACACCCACCTCATAACTGTTTGTCAGCAGAGCAGTGAATTTTGATGACATTCCACAAAATAGGCATCTGTCAGTAAATAGAAAACATTAAAAGAAGAAAAGCAGTAAAATAGCCTTTACTATTAGTAGTTAGTCACATTCTACTTGACATGTTCTGTAATTTTTTAAGTGTTTTTCAACTTATTTACAGTGCCTTGAAAAAGTATTCATACCCCTTGAATTTTTCCACGTTTTGTCATGTTACAACCAAAACGTAAATGTATTTTACTGGGATTTTATGTGTTAGACCAACAAAAAGTTGCACATAATTGTGAAGTGGAAGAAAAAGGATAAATGTTTTTCAATAATTTTTACAAATAAATATGTTAAAAGTGTGGCGTTCATTTGTATTCAGCCCCCCTGAGTCAATACTTTATAGAACCACCTTTCGCTGCAATTACAGCTGCAAGTCTTTTTGGCTATGTCTCTACAAGTGATGGTATGAACACCCCCTTGTTTGGTTCGCGGTCGAACATTCGAACCTACAGAAATTGCGACGGCGAACCTCAAACGGGCAATTTACTGAGCTGTATCTTACTGCATCTGAGAATGCAGTAAGATACCGCTCAGTTACTAAAACACTGCATGAGGTATATTATTAAGTCATGCTGTATTTTAGTAGTTAAATATTCTTTAATGTTTCAGCTGTCATTGGAGTTCCCCACTGACAGCTGAATGTCAAAAGAAAAAAAACCGGTGTGGGGCTCCCCCTCTCATCCATACCAAGCCCTTCGGGGCTGGTATGGATTTTTTTGGGGTCCCCCCCAAATCCATACCAGACCCTTATCCGAGCATGTAGCTTGGTAGGTTAGGAAAGGGGGGGACAAGCAAGTGCCCCCTCCCACCTGAACCATACCAGACCACATGCCCTTAACATGGGGGGGTGCTGCTTTGGGAGAAGGGGGGTCTCCCCCCTCAAAGCACCTTGTCCCCTTGTTGATGGGGACAAGGGCCTCTTCCCCACAACCCTGGCCTGTGGCCGGGTCTGCAGATGAGGGCTTTTCAGAATCTGGGAGCCCCTTTAACAAGGAAGCCCCCAGATCCCAGCCCCCCCCCCATGTGAATGGGTATGCAGTACATGGTATGGTTTGGTAGGTCTGGGCTTTTACTGGGCCAGTCTAACACATGATTATGCTTTGCTCTAACAGGTTTTCTTCTAAAATTGCCCTCCATCCATCTTCCCATCAACTCTGACCAGCTTCCCTGTCCTTGCTGAAGAAAAGCATCCCCACAACATGATGTTGCCACCACCATGTTTCACGGTGGGGACGGTGTGTTCAGGGTGATGTGCAGTGTTAGTTTTCTGCCACACAACTTTTAGGCCAAAAAGTTAAATTGTGGTCTTATCTGACCAGAGCACCTTCTTCCACATGTTTGCTGTGTCCCCCTCATGGCTTCCCACAAACTGCAAATGGGACTTCTTATGGCTTTCTTTCAACAATGGCTTTCTTCTTGACACTCTTCCATAAAGGCCAGATTGGTGGAGTGCACAACTAATTGTTGTCTTGTGGACAGATTCTCCCACCTGATCTCTGCAGCTCCTCCAGAGTTACTATGGGCCTCTTGGCTGCTTCTCTGATTAATGTTCTCCTTGCCCGGCCTGTCAGTTTGGGTGGGCGGCCATGTCTTGGTAGGTTTGCAGTTGTGCCATACTCTTTCCATTTTCGGATGATGTATTGAGCAGTGCTCTGTGAGATGTTCAATGCTTGGGATGTTTTTTTATAACCTAATCCTGGTTTAAACTTTATCCCTGACCTGTCTGGTGTGTTTCTTTGCCTTCATGATGCTGTTTGTTCACTAATGTTCTCTATCAAATCTCTGAGGGCTTCAAAGAACAGCTGTATTTATACTGAGATTAAATTACACACAGGTGGACTCTATTTACTAATTAGGTGACGCCTGAAGGCAATTCGTTC